AGAGTCTCGCTCTGTCACCCAGGCTGGAGTATAGTGGTGCCATCTTGGCTCACTGCAACCTCTCTGCCTCCCGAGTTCAAGCAATTCTCCTACCTCAGCCTCCTGAGTAGCTGGGACTGCAGGTGCTTGCCACCACGCCTGGCTAGTTTTTGTATTTTCAGTAGAGAAAGTTTCACCATATTGGCCAGGCTGGTCTCGAACTCCTGACCTCATGATCTGCCTGCCTCAGCCTCCCAAAGTGCTGGGATTACAGGTGTGAGCCACTGCGCCCGGCCTGTTCTTGTTAATTTAATATCTTGGTTAAAACAGAACCATCACAAACGCTGACGCAACATCACGGTCCTGTCACTGCTTTTCAGAGTAAACACACAGTGAAGTCAGTTTAATAGTAAACACTAATGCTTCTGAAGGTGATTTAACCAGAGCCAATTCAGTGAGCAAGCACCAGGGATTAAAAACGCCTCCCTTCCATATCCTTGTTCTGCATCTGCCTCTGGGGTTCTGAGTGCTTTCCTCTTCTTTCACCTTGTTACCTGAGCACATCCCGCTCCAGCTGGGGACAGAGGAGCGAGGAACCATCAGTGCTCACCCTGGCTCTGCAGGTGGCCCCAGTCCCACAGGTGGCATGGCAGGGGGCCCTAAGCGCTGGGCAGCAGGGGGTCTGCAGAGATGCACAGCCTGACCTTGGCCCCAGATACAGAGAAGCTTAGAGCAGCTTCCAAAAATAGAGGCACTGAACTCATTCCCTAAACTCCACCAGGCTGAGCCGGCCACCAAGGGGAGGATTAAATTAAAGCCGCAGCTGCTTTTCCTTCCTTGAACGTCAAGGGCAAGGCGGTTCCTCCCAGGCCCAGCCGGCTCAGCGGCCGCTCCCTGCAGAAGGGGCTCATCCCTTAGGCTGAGGTGCAGGCACTGATGTTCCCAACCTGGTCTTGTCCCCGTGCCCCCAAGGCTCCTTGTCCCTGTCCTTCTAGGGACATCCATGCCTCTGCAAACCACCCAACACTGTGCATTTGTCACCGAGGCTCATGGGACGGCACCTGCCAGGCCAGGACGGGGCGGGGCACAGCTCTGACACTCCCCTACACACCCCTCAGGGTCTGCAGTCAGACATGGGCCGGGGCCACACAATGACGGTGACCACAGGCGTCTGCACGTGGCTGCGGCTTCCTCCTCTACTTGATTTCCACTCTGCAGATCATCCTCCGTGAGCAGGTGTGAGTCCCAAGACCATGCTCTCACACGCACTCACAGGCCAGTTCACACTGGTGCTTCCAATTAGAACATAAAAGGTGTGACTTGGAAGACTCAATTTATTTTTTTGACACAGAGTCTCGCTCTGTCACCCAGGCTGGAGTATAGTGGTGC